GTGGGTCTGGGCCCATCACACCGCATCCCTCCTGACTCTAGAAAGGGGCGAGGAGCTACATCGCGTGTTCCTTCTCATTCTAAATTTCAGTATGGGGTTTCTTCAAAGGATGTCGTTTAATTGAGTCATCCTTTGAATAGGGCACACGCTTAAAGGAAATAGAACTGCATTGGAAATCAGGAGTCTGGGCCTTGCATCGTGGCTCTGCCCCAAACTCGCAGAGGAAACTTGGGTTTTACTCTCCTCGTCTATAATAATAAGGGAATTTGAAACGTTGACATTAAATGCTGTATCTCACTCTAAATCATATAATTGTATTATGTTCCATTTTGGTGACATAATTGAATTGTGACATAAGTTAAAGGTAGATTATATAATGGAAGACTATAGAAATGTACTTGCCAGTGGTACTCAGAATTAATCACTGGACAATTGAAAACTATTATGAAGCTACCAGAGAGTGACTCTTCTGGGTCCATTTTCATTTAAAGAAGTGTAGAGTGACATCTCTTCTTTGCCCCTGAATTCAGATTTTCTTTTTAAATCATACATATTTCCATTCAATTTTATTCAGCACCAGCTATATATTTATTTTTATTGCAGACTTGTACTACATTTTCCAGACCCATTTGGTTAGAAAATATTTTCAACTGTGCACAATGAATTTCACATTTCTGTTGCTGATTGTAACAATAATTCAGATATCAATTAGAATAAAAGGTTTTGTGTTCATTTAAATCTAAGTAACAATGCAATTTATTGTCCCAAAATACTGTCACAGGGTTTTTCTCAAGGGGAGAAATTTAACATAAATGAGAGTGTCTTTTTATGGCTACGGAAAATATTCACACATTGAGTATTCTCCTGTTTCTTCTTTCCACCAAGTGGTGATACCTGTAGACACAGAAGGGAACAGTGCTATAGGTATTCAGTTTTTGTTGATTTGCAATAACAATAATACTAAACACACCAAGCATAATGTAAGACAAAATGGGGGAACTTGGTAACTTTTTATTGAATAAATGAATAAGGTAATCGATGGATGGGTATTGAAGTTTCTTCATATCCATTGGAAGCCCACTATGAAAATAAGTAAGATCCTTAAATGCAAAACAGAATTTTTAGTTATTTAAAATATTAAGCACCTTAAGTGGTGTGAAGACTTTGCTATAACATTAATCTCTGCGCAGATCGTTTAGGAATTTTAGGGATTATTAGACTAGGCTCCTTTCCGGTTTTAGGGCATTTAGTTATTAAAGTAATAAAATATGTATACAAACATGGTGTCACTTCTGAGGCATGTATCCTAAACATAGCATCAGAAGAAGGTTCCAGCATCTCTACAAAGTACTGCTTATTCAGAAAAATTGTTTTTCATGGCTCTTGCCAGCAGAAATAGTACTTTTACTTCATAGTACATAAACTGAGGCAAAAACTTAAGTAACGTTTATATTTTGACTATTGGATGTGAAGTGAGATATAGTCATGTAAGAATGTTATTCAATAAAAAGCATGATTATACATTTAAGCATCAACATATTTTTAAATAGAGGCCATCTATGTATGCAGGCATATGTATAGGCATAGCTTTAAGAACAGTAGTTAAGTCATTTCCAAGTGTCCATCACCTTAGTTAAGAAATAGACACGCCCAGTACCCAAGAAGCTCCCGTGGACCTTGCTCAAGCCACGTTCCCTGCTCACCCCCTCGCCTGCCTGAGGAACCCCCCCTCTTGAATCTTGTTTTTATTTTTATTTTTTAATCATTTCCTTGCTTCATCTGTTAGCTTAGCTTTGAGACTTACATAAATGAAAATGTACTGTATATATTCTGCTGTGATTTTTTTCTCTCAATATTATGATTCTGAGGTCCATAGACAAATGTGGAGTTGGAATTCATTTCCACTGATGTTCCACCTCTCATTGCTTGAACACAACTCACTTTTTTTGTTCATTTGTCCTAATGAAATGATGTGCTTTAAATTTGTTTCCAAATAGGAAGTGTTCATTCATTTTGTTAAAAGAATGACAGTCAAATCGTGCCATTGTACGTTTTTCATTGCTTATTGTTAGGATTAGATTTGCCCAACAGTTCAACCAAATCCCTAACTACTACTCCATATGCAAAGAGAGCAGAAATTAAAATTTGTATTTCTGTCATCTTTATGGTCCCATTAAACTGAACAGTACCCTAGCCTAGCCTTGCTGATTTGCACCATGTCTGTGGTGTTCTGAGAAAGGTGGCCACTGCTTACTAACCTTATTATTTCATTTGCTGTTGCAGCTTGTGCTCTCCCACACAAAACCTTTTCCCATTAAGCACACATATTGGCAAGATTTTGCAACAGATGGCGGCTTCCTAGCCACACACTTAGTGTTTCTTTGAGCAGGTCTGGAATCATTCATGAGGTATGCAAACCTAAGTGATGGATTTGGTCAGTAATGGAGTAGAGTTAATGGATGCCTAAACAACTCCCTGGTACCTAAGCATCCCCCAAAGTTCATTTCTTATGACAGCAGGATATCATGTGGCAAATATCTACCTAGTGGAACAGCATCAGCCTGGACAGCTTAGCTCAGTGACTCTCTGGCAGAGCAATAGTTGTGGCTGAGAAAACAAAGAAGAAGGAAAATGCAATGCTTAATTTTTTTCTTTTTTAATGCTGTTGTTCTCATTTAAACTTGGACTAAAATTTATATAGGCAGAGGAAATTTTAGTTTACAAATTGCCTTAGTATTCAAAGTACATTAAAAAGTTATGTGCACAATTTCCACGCAGTTGTGCGCTAAGGGCCAAGGTAGTTTAGACTTGTCTTTGGGCTACTGGAGTTGAATCTGGAGATCATCCAGAGATCAACCTTACCCTGACCCCGCTGCAATTAGAGCTCAGATGATAGCTCGCTAATAACCCCTGTCTTCTACTGGAAGCATATGCTTAGTTTGTGACCATATCCTTAGCTCTACGGCAGTGCCTTCATCATGGTGGGCACCAATAATTATCTATTCAATGAAGGAATTTGAGGGCCCTTAGAGTTTGTCTGAACCGGTATATTTTTGTGGTGAGTTAGGATTGCAAGAGTGGGATTTGAACTTGATGTCTTTGTAATTTTAGACAATGCCCTGTATTTGCTTACGTCTTCTTCCTGGAACAATTGTTACTAGTTTTTAGCTCACTGATGTTCCCACGGACAAATGAGGGCAGGGACAGCACATGCCTGGGACACGCATCACATTCAGTGATGATGGTTGGGGAAAGATACCCTAGAGAAATAGGAGGTATTGTGAGCTCCTGTTGAGTTTAACAATTTTATGTAGAGTCGACCAATTATAGTATGTTTGAAAATGCATTGTTGGTGTTGATGATGATAGTGGTGACGATGATGATGACAAGATAAATGCCAAGGTTTCTTTTAAAGTACTGTGGCTTCCCTATCCTTAAGGTTTGAAATGTCCCTAACAAGTGCTACAGGGCCCTATATGATCTAGTCCACTTCTCTTATCCCAACTTCAAGCGATGAAATTCTTCTGTGTCCCTCTGCTGGAGCCACACCTGACCTCCATCAAATGGTGCTTTCAGCTCCTTCTCACCTCTGTGTTGTACATTCTTCTTTCTGGAACTCTGTGAGCCCTTATGGTAAACGCCTGTTCATCCAGATTTTAACTTAAAGTGACTGCTTCAGAGAAGACGTCCCAAAGCGCTCACCCTATACCCACCTCGTCCTCAGCTTGACCCTCATTGTAACTGGATAATTGCATAGCTGGTTGTTTCGCCTGCTTATCTTTTTTTGGCATTTGAGCTTTGTTAGGCAGGTGTCTGTCTGGCTTGTTTACCTCCAAATTCACAGGGCTTTTCCTGAGTGTGACCAAGAGTAGGTGCTCAATAAATATTTGCTGAAGCAATGAATGTTGAATGAATCATCCAAAAAATGTTTTTTGTTGTTGTTTTCTTTTTCTCTCCTTAGCTGGGAAGTTATCAATTCCAAACCAGAGGAAAGGCGCAGGCTCAGCCACTGCATTGCAGAGTCATGGATGAATTTCAGCACATTTCTTCAAGAAATGTCTGTTTTCAAACAGCAGAGCCCTGGAAAGGCAAGTTTTCCTGCACCGGGGAATTACTGTGTGTGCTTTAGAATGTGCAGTAAACTTAGAAACAAATGAATTAACCTATTTTATCAGCTTGTAAGTTTCTCCAATTCAGAATATAATCTAGGAACATGTGCTGTAAAAACTGATAGCAGCAAGATTCAGAAATGTTAGTGTGTTAGCATTAGAAAATCCTCAATCTCATCTTTTGAAATTGGATGTGTTTTCTATTTTTATATGTACTTATATAGCCCATTAACTAAAATGAGTGGTGATTGGCCTTATCAGCCAGACCAAGGAGAAATTCTTATTAAGAATTTCAGTTTATAGTATCCAGCCTGGTTTTGAAGTCAAAGGGAGATGAAATAAACACATAGTCCTTCAAGGGTGCTTTCAGAGATAATCGAATCTCACCTTTAATCCGAAAAGTGAAGATTGTTATATGATTTATTTAAGAAAGAAAACCTTTGGCAAAAACATTTGTAGTGATTACATACATGGAATGAGTGTTTTTACAATTAAGATGAAAACCCATGAGGAGAAGAGTTGTAAGTGGATTGAAGGGGATTGCATGGAGAAGCACACACACTTGTATATTTTGTGTGTAGAAGCAGCTTCAGCTGTGATCTTAATACCAAAGGTGGGGTGCAGAGCCATCAATAGACCCTTTCCCTTCCCATGTTGCAGTCAAGTTTCTTGAAGGACCACCTGTAGTTGGAAGGAAGATCCAAGGAATGTCGGCATTTAAAATCCCCCACGTGCCATGTACAGGCATGCTCTTAATTTTAATACTAGTATTAAATAATAGAACTATACTTGGACACATTTTGAGCATAGTAAAGTGGCAACGTTGTATACGGATGGATTTTTTAAATCACTGCAGGTGATTTTTAGCATAGATATCCATATTGTGTGTGGTGGGGGGAGGTTGGTTGCATTTTTTTATGCCAGTTTTACTGAAATGGTTAAACAGTTTTAGGAGACTCTGAACTTAAAACTGCATTGGATTGTATTCATGGGCCCCAAGTCAATTAGCTTAAGATTAAGAGGATGATGCTACAAACTTAGTGGATAATATGAAATCCTTTTGCAAAACTGAATTCTGAATATAGTAATGCTTTTATGGACTTAGTTATTCTTTTGTGGTCTTTTCCATTTTACTACTAGAATTCCATATTCTTCAAGGGCCCCTGCTGTTTCAGAAACAGCTCTTAATTTAGTTTTACAAGCTCATCCGTTCTCCTTTTGACTAGTTAATTTATTAACCCTGTGCCGAAGAATGAAAAAAGTTAATCTGAATTGTAGACCCCCTTGATCTTCCTTTTCATCAGTTATTGATCAGAGTTACAGATCCCTTTTTGAAGTGCTCTTATTTTCTTTGGTTAATAGTTTTTAATACCATAATTTAAAGACAAAGCAAAAGATGATAGTTTATATTTAAGATTAGAGTATGAAAACTTATGTGAAGACTTGACAGGAGAATTTTTCTATCTTGAAGTTTTAATTTCTTAAAACAACCAAGATTTTTTTTGGTCATGACTGACAGAAGCAAAATAATCACATTTCGCTGTTGGAATTTCATTTCATTTGTAGATGGTTTCTGGGTGACCTAGAAGTGAGGTCAAATTGAGGGATGGGTATGGTAGGGAGGAGAATAGTAATGGCCAGTAGATTTACCCCAGCAGCTTGTCAGCTATGCGAATTACTGTTACATTTATGTAAATGCCTCTAATTTCTGTAACATGCTTTGCTGTGTGTATGAATTTCAGTGGGCTTATCGAAGTAGTTTGAGCTTGCAAATTTAGTTACCAGGCTGCTATATTTTAGTGAGTGATCCTGAGTGAAAGTTTCTGGGGGCATATAAATCTTCAGTTCTCTTGTATCTGGCAGTAATACAGCCACGGACGCTGGTTCAACACAGCAGTCATTAGTTAGATCTAAGGGCAAAAGAACACTGTTTGAAAAACATTTGCTGTAACATGATAGATCACATATAGATAAATAATTGTGTGTGTATCCTGTGCTCTAAAACGCCTTGGTGTTATGCTAACTGTCACGTTATCTCTATAATTTCTAGTTTTGTCTCCTGGTCTGCAGTGTGTGCACATTTTTTACGATCTTGGGAAGTTACATTCCTGGGGTTATACTCAGCTATCTACTCTGTAAGTATAGTAGAACATTTGGCTAATTTATGTGATGCATATGGTATCATGTAATGGTCAGCAAGACCTTCCATAATTTGGAAGAGGAGGGGTGAGTTCTTAATTATAAAGAAACTTGATTATTCTTTCCTTTCCACCTGTACAGAGTTTCTCCTTTTCCTAGAGACATATTTTAAAACTGGAAGAATAGTTGCCAAAAGGCAGTATTATAAGGGATGAATTCTACTTTAAATGATGCCTTAAAACTATAAATAAGCTCTAATTCCTACCGCCCATGAACACATATACCTTTGCCCTTGTGCAAATTCTGTGGCTCAAAAATAAATTAAAGGCACAGTGAGATACCATGACACCAGTACGGCTAAAATGAAAAATACTGATCATATTAAAGCATTAGCCAGGATATGAAGCAACTAGAATTCTCACATACTGTTGGTTGATAATGAGAATAGTACCAGCACTTTGGGTAACAGTTTGGCAGTTTCTTGAAAAACTGCTATATCGTCCCAGCCATTCCACAGCTTAGTGTTTACTCAGGAAAAATGAAACATATGTCCACAAAAGACTTGTATAAGAATGTTCATAGCAGCTTTCTTTGTAGTAACCAAAAATGGAGCACAATCCGTATGTCCATCAATAGACTCATGGCTAAACAAACTGTGGTTTATCCATACAATGGATTACTATTCAACACTAAAAATTAATATGTGCAGCAACCTGGATAAGTCCCCAAATAATTAGGTTGAGTGGTGGATATGTTCACTATCTTGACTATGGTGATGGTTTTTTAGTTGTATGTATACACTGTGTAAAAACCCTTACACGGAAAGTTCGCGAACTTAATTGTGCGACCGTCGTATGTCAGAACATCAAACTGTACACTTTAAATATGTGAATTTACTGTACATCAATAACTTGAAAATGCCATTTAAAAAAGTGTAGATTTCCTGCTTCTGAAAACTATGATCTAGTGCTGCCACCTGTCGATGGTGCAGGCATGCTCCACTTAACTAACCCTTGCATCTCCCCATTTTTCTTACACCAGCTTCTAAAATTTACATATACTACCTTAGCTTCTAGAGATATTTGAGTTTGTAGCTCCTATTTAAAAGGCAAATGGGCACATTTCCTAACAACAGCAAAAAAAATAAACATTAGGGGAGATAGTACAACCTTCATTTCTTTTTGTATTCCTAACGCATAACACAGATGGCAAATGGTGAGCTCAAACCCATTCTCCCACATAGAACGCATGTAGGATGTGAGCCTGTTGATCTGCCTGGTGCAGTAGGGCCAGAGAGGAGGGTCTAATAGAGGCAAGGCATTAGTCACATGGTTTATGTCCATCTCATCTATTGTTCACAACAGCCCCAAGAAATAATGTTACTATCTCAATATTATTGAGGAGAGGCTAATAGATGTAACTTTCCCATGGTGCAACGGCATTTAACAAAAAAGTAGAGTTGAGATTTTAATCCAGGACTGTTGTCTAGAAAGCATGGAATCTTTGTATAAATTTTGAGGGTAAAAGGTTTGAAAGAAGGGAGTTGATTTAATAGCCAGTCTTTGAAAACAATGACTAGAAACGTCTCTGTGTGTGTGTGTGTGTGTGTGTGTGTGTGTGTGTGTGTGTGTGTGTGTGTAAATGTTTTCATTACAGGGGGAAGAACTGAAATTATGAACTTATTTTACAAAGGCATTTCCCTAAGAAAAAAAACTTCTATTTGTCAATACGGGAAACTGAAATATTTGTGAAATTCAAAGATGAAGCTTTTTGAAATAAAGATCATCTTACCTACACTCTCTTCCTTCTTATATTTCAGTACTGTGTGCATTTTTGTGTCCACTGTTTAAGTGTAATGATATGGGACAAAAAATATACAGCAAAATCAAGTCAGTTCTGCTGAAACTAGATTTTGGAATTGGAGAATATATTAATCAGAAGAAACGAGAGAGATCTGGTAGGTAAAGTTTGAATTTTAGATTCCATGCATGAAATGAGACATCAGGGGCTATTTATTATAAAATCACCTTCAGTACATTTCAGGGCATTTTAGCCATTTACTAATATCACAGAAACTAATCCCCCCAAAGTAACATAGCCTTTTCCTATTTTGACTTTCATTCTTTTTTGAAACATACAATAAATTGACTTTTTAAATCCACATTGTTAGGGGATATTTGCTACCTATGATTTACTGTATTTAAACTGTTTTATTTTGGGGTGGACGATTGCAAATAAAAAATGACACAAATAGGACTGAGTGTGGGAGCTGTATAAGAGGGATTGAAAGAACCGGGGAAGAGAATACACAGAGGAAAAACCAGTGTGATCAACTTTCACCTTTTAACTTGGCCTATGACCTTACAGATTCTCAAACTATCGCAAGCGTCACAGCTGCTCCAGTGGCTTACCAAAGCATAGACTGCTGGGCCCGCTCCACAGTTTCTCATTCAGTTGGTCTAGGGTAGGGCCTGAGAACTGACATTTTTAAAACGTTCCCAGTGATGCTAATGCTGCTGGTTGAGAGGACACACTGTGAGAACCACAGTGGTTCTCACATGTGGACCATTTGCCTTGGAAATCAGACATTTGCCAAAATGGGAAGCTTGTTATGTGCGAACAATTAATTCTGAGGAGGCCCTGGAGGATATGAGGAATGTGGGTAAGGCTGTGTAATGGATAAATACACTATGTCTACGCTGGCCAGGAAACTGAAAGCTTCCAAATTTTTTCTCAACAGAAGCAGACAAAGAAAAAAGTCACAAAGATGACAGTGAATTAGACTTTTCAGCTCTTTGTCCTAAGGTATTTTTTGTTTAGTTTTCAATTTGTTCCTGTGTGGTTTGGCTATAGATTTATTTACATGCACTCATGCTGAATGGTTTCCTAAGAGACAACTCCTGTTTCTCTAAGATGGTTGAACAGTCCTGAAAGGAAAATACTCATCTGGTTTTTATGATTCTGACATTTTTCGGTGTTAGTGTGGAGTTTTCAGATTTTGCACAGAAGTTTAAAATGTGCCTGGTATTTGTATTGACACAGATTAGCCTCAACGTGGCTGCCAAAGAGCTGTCTGTGTCTGACACAGACGTGTCCGAGGTCTCCTGGACTGACAATGGGACCTTCAACCTTTCCGAAGGATACACTCCACAGACAGACACTTCTGATGGTAGGCTCGCATTTCTAGATACTCTTCTCTTTATTAACATGAGTGCATGCAGAAATGTTTAACTCTGGCAACTGCTGAATGGATAAACACAATGGAGTACTGTATATACAATGGGATATCATTGGCTGTCAAAATGAAGTACTGATACTTGCTACAACATGGATGAACCTCGAACACACTGGGCTAAGTGAAAGAAGCCAGATACACAAGTCCAATTTATATGAAATGTGCAGAATAGGCAAACCCATATAGACGGGAAGTAGACAAGTGGCTGCTAGGGGCTGGGGGAAGAAGGAATGGTGAGTGATCAGTAATTATGAATAAAGTATGAGTTTGTTTTTGGAGTGATAAAAATGTCCTAGAAGGCGATGGTTGTACAGCTTTGTGAATATATTAAAAACCACTGAATTGTACACTTTAAAGGGATAAATTTTATGGTATGTGAAGTATATCTCAAAGCTATTATTTTTTTGAGTCTGAGAAAAAAAATCTAAGCACATTAATGTCCCAAATCTGCCTTTATTTTGAAAACAAATAAATATTGACAGTGAACAAAATTAACTTCTAAAATGTCTGATGACCTTGTTTATAGCAATAATGGGAGGAGGGGAGAGAGAAGCTAACCCCGCATATCCAGGGTGAGTCTTCATCAAAAAGGACTGAAGCATGGAGGGCAAGCTCCCCAATTCCAAGGCTGATTCCCAGGTTTCTCATGTGTCTTCAAAGTTAGTTAAAAAATAAAAAAAATCTCTCTCGTTTTTTAATAATTAAGTTAAATACAATTTAAAGTAGAGACACAACTTTTGTGCAGGAACTTAACTGTTGCTAGTCTCACTGGATTATTTCAAGTCATCTTAGCCATACACTGAAAATACGAGCAGATTATAATGGCAGACTGTGAATAAATGATCTTATATGTAGTTTTACAAGCAAGAACACATTTTCTTTTTCAGAGGAAAGAGGGAGATTGTGCAGTGTTTGAAAGGAGACAGATTTGGGGATTAGGAGACCTAACTGTCGTCTTGCCTTCATCATTGCTAACTGTATGACCTTGAACAGGTGACAGAATTTCTGTGGACCTCAATTTCCTCATCTTTAAAGCGCATTAGAATAAGAGGATCACTAGAGTCCACTCAAGCTCTACAACTCGAAATATCTACAAGACCAGGATAAGGAAACCCTTTGTTCTGAGGCATCTGATCTCAGATTTCCACAACACAAGGGCAACAATCCAGCCCACATATGAGGCTTGTTCAGTATTTACACTGAAGGTATCAAGTCACTGTTGTAAAGAGTTAATCATTATATGGGAAGATTTTCTATGAAAAGTGAAAAAAAAAATCACTCTCTGCCTACTAGCCTGGCATTGCTTTCAAATGTCCGAAATCTTAAAGTGTCCCTATTTATTGGGTTGTCGGAAAAGTCATGATGCATTTTTGCAACGAAAAACATAGAAAAAATATATCATGACTTTTCTGACAACCCAATACATTCAGGACACGATTTTGGTTGAAATGACATGGTTGCTTTCAGCTGTATTTATGGAATGTTTCCATAAGCTCTGAGGATGAATATGGAATAGGAAGAGCAATAGCTTCTTCTAATTCATTGCTTTAAACAAACACAGGTTACAGATACAGATAAAAACAGGTGAAAATGCTGAGGTTAGGTAATATTCCACATCCATTGGACCAGATGCCACGAAAACTTCCAGTTGACATAGTTTTTATTTTGTGATCATACATATCCACATTGGCTTAGGCTAATTCCCTCCCCAGGCACAGAATGAAATTTTTGTTTAGGTGAACATTTAAACTTTAGTGAAAACCTCAAGCTAACGTTAGACGGGTTGAATCTTCAGTCATTACATACCCTGTTTTGTGCTTACAAGGAAAATGAAAGATGTAGGGGGCACATGTGGCATTTGTGTCCTTCAGGAGAGGTAGTGTCCCAGATTTGGGAGGGGTCCAGCATGTGGCTAGGTTGATTTAAGCTGAACCAGGAGACTAGATGAATGCCCAGTGTTGTCCAGAAGACTCAGATTAAAATCAGGTATCTATGAGACAGCTCTTTTAGTTCAAAGGTATGGCAGTGCTTAAACAAGAACCTCTGTTGTGCATTTCACAGATCTTGACCGACCCAGTGAGGAAGTTTTCTCTCGAGACCTTTCAGATTTTCCGTCTGCAGAAAATGGCATGGGAACAAATGATGAAGATGAATTAAGCCTTGGCTTGCCCACTGAGCTCAAGAGGAAAAAGGAACAGTTGGAACGCTGTCGCACACCGAGCAAAGAGAGGCAGTCCGCAGCGGGTCTCACCCTCCCTCTGAGCAGTGACCAAACCTTTCACTTGATGAGCAACCTGGCTGGGGACGTCATCACAGCTGCAGTGACTGCTGCCATCAAGGACCAATTAGAGGGCGTGCAGCAAGCCCTCTCTCAGGCTGCACCCAGCCCAGGAGAGGACACAGACACTGAAGAAGTTGATGACTTTGAACTCCTTGACCAGTCAGAGCTCGATCAAATTGAGAGTGAATTGGGACTTTCACAAGACCAGGAAGCAGAAGCACAGCAAAATAAGAAATCTTCAGGCTTCCTTTCAAATCTCCTCGGAGGCCATTAGTCTGGGAATCAGCTTGCACAACAGAGCACAGATAAACTACCAAAAAAATTTCAAACAAGCAAAAAAGAAAAAACAAGAAAAAAAAGAAAAAAAAGGAAAAGGAAAAAAATGTTTTTGAACTGTGAGCTTTACTGATATTTTAGATTTTTGTCTTATTTTCCCTTCTGCAGTGAATTAATTGGACATATATCAGCTAAAATTGATAGACTGATATTTCTGATAGTTATTTTTATGTAATAAGCATGGAAATGAAACATACGTGTATACACACACACACACACACACACACACACACACACACACACAGTTGGCCCTTAAACAAACGGGTTTGAACTGCACAGGTCCATTTGTTCATGGATTATTTTCAATAAATAAGTGTATTTTCTCTTCCTTATGATTTTCTTAATGACATTTTTCTAGCTTTATTGTTAGAACACAGTATATAATACATATACAAAATATGTATTAATCGACTGTTTATGTTATTGGTAAGGCTTCCAATCAATGGTAGGCTATTAGTAATTAAATTTGGGGGATATCAAAAGATATATGCAGATTTTTGACTGTGCGGCGGGGATGGGGGTGTGGTGGTGCCCTTAACCTCTGCATTGTTCAAGGGTCAACTGTACATATATATATATATATATATATATATATATATATATATATATATATATATATAGAGAGAGAGAGAGAGAGAGAGAGAGAGAGAGAGAGATGAATATTTGGGGTTGTTTCTAAAGCAAAAAAACAAAACAAAAACAAAATACCAAATTACAGAGGTCCTCCATAAGTATTCCTTATGTTTTCTTTATACTTTTCAAGCATGCAAAAACCATTTATTGTAACTCACTGAAATATTAACAGTTAATCGTTAATACATGCTGTACCAGCGCCTCTGTTCCTAATACTTGGAAACAGTTAAACATTTTTGGTAGATTTTGATGTAAAATGAAAAAAAATATCAAGGCATCTTTAGTTGAAGGACTTGGGAAATAATATCAAAATTAATTTCCTAGGAAAAATTTAAAAACATATTTAACACCTTTGGATAGGCTGATAAATTTCCATGTTTTTCTGCATCTATAGACTTAGGCTTACTTGTAAATGGCGTGCTCCATTGACTGCCAGCTCTAGTCTTGCAATGGGTGGTATTAACCCGTAGAAAGCAAGTAATTATATATCCCATAGATGGTGGTTTTGATGTAAACAGAGATTGGGCTGTGTTTTGTTGTTCAATTGTCATATGTTTGTAATAGGGATATTCTACCTACTCAGACCTAGGTTAAACTCTTATCTTTCATATAGTGTCATGGAAAAAGTCTCTTAAAATCATGAAACTAGTTCCTGGTATGTTCTGTGAGTGATGTGGTCATCAGCAGTAGAGAATAACTGTTTTTGTAGTCTATATAGTCTCCTACCAGAGAAAAACTTGCTTGGCTTTAAAGTGTATTTATTTGCCATTGAAGTTTAAATGTTGAATCTGTTTCTCATTGGGAAGCCGCAATGTATTTTTCCTTTATTTTAACCTTTTTAGATCACTTTTAAATAACCAAATTTGACTTAGGTTTTTAACAAAGTACTAAAGAGCAGAAATCAAGCTAATTTTGTTTTTGTGGTATAACTTTTAATAGTGTTGAGGGACCATGTCAGCAACTACCAACAATCTCTTCAATCTTCAGGTACAGCTGGCATTTCTGCAGACGCAGACAGACATCTGAGACCCTCAGAAAGGAAGGATAATCCAAGAACATAGGAAATCTGTGGTCCCCTCCCTTCACTTTATCCCTTTTCTTTTATTTCTAAAGACTAATTATAGGTAATCTGACATTTTAATGTAGCATCTCATATTTATTTTTTCTTTCTGAGGTATTAACATATCTAGACTGAATTTTGCCAAATGTTAAAGGGAGAGAAGTTACTGAAGACTTTGAACACTTGCTTTTCGTGATTGATTTTGCTTCTATGTCATTAGTGCCTCATGACTGTGTTTGATGTCCTTTATTGATACAAAGTGACCCTGTGCCTTCATTATCTTTCCCATTTGGTATAAATGAAAACCTGCTGTTAGATCTGTGACCTGTGTGGGTTTGGGAGGAATATACCTGAATTCGGTTCAATAAGAGTTTCTGGACACGAAGAAAAATACAGTCACATATTTATAAAATAGTTGTTACCAGGATCCTTTTTTCTTAATGTGTATGTTTCTTCATTTAAAACATATTCTTGGCCATAAAGTAAAAGAGTTTAAAGGTCATTTCAATGTCTTCACTGAAGGAAAAAGAAGTTTAATAATCCAGGTAATTAAAGAATGTGTTACAAGTCACTGGACAAGCTTACAAGAGAAGATAAATACACTAGAATCAAATGTTATAAACTATACATTAAAAGGGGCTTAGGGATAGAGAGGGGATGAGGATAGTGGAGGGTAGAAAATGTGTTACCTGCACTATGGAGGAGAAATACCAGCTCTCTCTACATGGTACATGGTACCATTATCACCATATATATACACTTCGATATTATTCAAGAATATATGTGATAACCAAGTTACACAATGCAATAATGGTATTCTGAATTCAAACAAACATAGGAATGTTGAGAGGTTTTGGTGTTTGTTTTGGGAGGGGCGTGTGTGTGTGTGTGTGTGTGTGTGTGTTGGTGGGGTCAGAATTACAGATAACCTTGTTTCTGATTTTAAGATACAGGAACCATAAATCCTGTGATTGACCCAGTACATGGAGAACTACATATCCCACCCATGAGAATTTATGCAGTCATTAAAATTTGAAGCATAGATTTTTTTTTTAAATTATAGAGGAGTTGTAGAAAAATGTTTTGTTCACTTCCTGTAGGAAATGCTGAGCAAAGCCATACAATGGGAATAGCATACACTAATCATGCAGTTCGATCTGAAACAATAAAGCAGGGCCCAAGATCAAGCTTGCTTTGGAAGGTCAACCCAGGAGTAAAGCAGTGTTTATATTCTCATTCTGAAACATCTTTGCTTTTATCCTAAAAATCTTCAAAAGTCATTTTTAAAAACTGCTCCTCCCCAGTTTAGTATTATATTAGGAAAAGAAGCTTTTATAAGGTTTTGCAATTGGCAACCATCCTCCACACGTTTAGGCATTCATTCTAATATTTGAAATAAGCGCAACTGTTTTCCCCTTACAAAAGTGGCAAATGCCAGCAGACTACTGGTTTTAGGCTAGAAGCAAATCTACATTTAAGAAAAAAGTGATTTAAACATTTTCCTTTTCTGTTCGTAGTTTAGGTTGGTGTAGCTCTTTACACTGCTCCAGCTATGTTAGTTATAAGATTGAAATTATTCTGATAACCTTTACTGAACTCTTGTACATCATTTGTTACCATGATGAAGTGAGAAAGTCCCAGAAATATATTTTTGTGTATTATTCCTCCATTTCCACTGCAGCATTTCAGTTAGGATGGAATGTCGGAAATATGCTTCTCACACAGGGATGTTTTGAGAATGAATGGAAAAAAAGTGTCTAAAACACTCTTAGGGAATTAAAAAAAAAAAAAAGCTGTGTAAAACCAAGATAGTGATTTTTTTTTCCTGCCTGTGTTTCAACTAAGTCATCTTTTAAAGCATGAAAACAAAATCAAGAAGTACCTGCTTACAAGGAAACAAGTTTCTTTTAATGGGCTTAGCACTATATTGACCTCATAATCCAATAAATGCTGTGGAATAAAAGGATGAAAGGTTTTGCAAAAATGTCTATTTCAGTTGACTCTGGACCATGTGTGAGGTTCTACACTAGTCATTTCTAAGGTTCTAACACTTATTGGCTGTGGAACTCTGAATAAATTACCTAACATCTCTGTAGACCTGTTACCTTCATCTATAAAATTAAGATACAGCATTATCTCATAGTATGAGGATTACCGTATTTCCCCATGTATAAGACACACCTTAATTTTGGGGCCCAAAATTTAATAAAAAATGTATTACATAAAGCTATTGAACTCAAGTTTTATTCATCATAAAATTCATACAACTCCTCATCAATGTCAAAACTCCCAACCATTAGCTTGTCCTCATCTGTGTGATGACGAATCACTGTCTTCATATATTGCCTCATCCTCAGTTCCATTTATGGCATTTGAAATGCCACACTTCTTAAATGACTTGACAACGATCTAAAACCACTGTATAAGACGCACCCAGTTTTTAGACCCCACATTTTTTGGAAGGGGTGCGTCTTATACATAGGGAAATATGGTAAGTGTCTCAGACTTGGATTGGTGAACTGTGGCCCATGGGCCAACCTGTTTTTATATGGAATACTAGCTAAGGTTAATTTTAAAAAATTCTAAATAGTTGGGAAAAAAAATCAATATTTCATAACGTGAAAAATATATTAAATTCAAAATTCAGCATCCATAAATACAAAGTTTTTTTTAGAACAGGCCACACTCATTTATGTACCACTGGCTGCTTTTGTGCTATATCCAAAAAGTTGAATAGTTGTGACACAGAACATAGGCCCACAAAACCTAAAGTATTTACTAACTGGCCCTTTATAGGAAAAGTTTGCTAACTGTTGGGCTAATACATAGAAAATACTCAATTACCATTAGGATCATGTGTAATCCGCATGACTCTACAGTTAAGCGGTATTAAGAGTATTTTTCAGCAGGACAGGTTTAAATAAATTGCCCAAAGGCACAGTAAGGGGAAACGTCAGTTTGACCCAAAGCCTATTCTCTTTCTAATATATCACATTATCTAAGTTTTAAATATATATATTAAGAATGTTCATAATTTTAAATAATTGAACGGAATTTCACCAAATATTAAAGAGCAAGTATTTGGTTTAAATTAATTTTTTCAGAGAATCCAGAAACATTTAATTTATATGCTTTAAATGCTGTAATAACCAGGTTTCTCTATAAATTTCAATTCCTTGTTAATTTAAGAATAAAACTTGGCATATCCAGATATCCAAAAACTAAGAGGCAGTAAAGTATCTTAAAATTGTTTTTTACTGAACATTGTAATACTTTAGCTAATATTTTTATGAACAAAGAATTCATAGAAA